CAAGTCGTGCACATTTTCTGTGAGTGTATGGAGTGAGGTGGGAGCGGGAGGGGAAGAGTGCAGCGAGATAGATAAGTATTGCATGGAGCTGGCAGTCGTTGTCGATTCGCTCACAGCATTGAATTGGTGTTAAGCACGAACCGGGCGAATTGGCAATATGGAAATGGAAATGGGAAAGGAAATGGAAAATGGTAAATGGAAATCAGGCAGAGTTGTCCCCAAGCTGTGGGGGGACTGGAGCGCGCAGCATGGCGCTTGGCGGCCTGGCAGCCGCAGCAGTTGCTGCCATTCGTTGCCAGCGTGCGGAACATGTCGAATCAATTGTTTTTTCTCAGCCTCGCGGACATATTCTCCGTTTATCCGGCCATCTTCAAGGAGCGCAGCAAGCAGCTGCGCAAGACCAAGCAGATCTATCTGCCCAGCGATGAGGAGTGGCAGGACAAGATGTACTTCATGCTGCTCGAGATCCAGCGGCAGGTGAACGAATCCTCCGACGTGAACATCTCGCTCAAGGACATCGACAAGCGAGATAAGCCCGTCTTCGATCCGGAACGGATCACCAAGATCATTTCGCCCAGCCTCAGTCCCAGCGGCCGTCGCAGTCGCGTGCTCAAGTACTGCCACGCGACCACAGTGAAGATTCGCCTGAAGTCCAGCGCACGCTGGAATCTGAAAACCATTGCGAATGCAGCCAAGCTGCTGAGGAAACCCGCTCTGCCCGTTGCCTTTCAGAATGAGCACGAAATGCGCTTGGCCTACTCTCTGATCTACGATGTCTTTCGTTGTGCGTGCACACCTAACCTCACATTTGACACACAGCTAACCTCACTTTTCGGCGATTGCAGATAAATCGGTGTTGTCTAACGCCTTGTCGGACATTTGCTTCTTCGAGCAGGAGCGCTATAAGAAGGTATGAGATTGTATAACTAGGCTGAAGGAAGTAGAATATCTGAATATAGACTGATGATTATCTGCTAGTCAACAATTGATTGACTTCCTCCCCCTCCTACTTCCACAGTATATCGACGATGAGCAGCGCATTTGGTTGATGCTCTTCGAGCTGTACGATCGCCACTTCAGGAATCGCAACTCGGAATACCAAGCGGAGCAGAAGCAGCTGTACAAGGAGGCGGAGGTGACAGGTAATGCAAACTCCCTCTAGCAATACCTTTCCGGTCATTCTAGATTCGCTTACTCCACAGAAATAGCTGATGTGCTCTGGCAGCATCGCATACGCCTGGCCGCCTCCATTTCTCGCATGCGAATCGGCGTCGGCGCTCTGCGTCTCTCCCAGCTGCTGCCCATTCATCTGCAGAACGAAAAGGTGGCCATAGCGGCGGCCAATCCTGTCGTCACCGGCTGGATCAATCCGTTTCTGCTGCGGTAAGTCCGACAGTAACTGCTACGATTTAACTCGAAGTTGTTTCTCTAACCCAGCAACAAGACGGAGGCCAATAAAATCCTGACAGAGATGGGCTTTACGGTCCACGGCCCGGACGATGAGCAGCCGCTGCTCGAGCAGCACTGCAAGTGGGACAACATCTGCCCACTGGTCATCTCCATCATACCCAAGAATCGCAGCGAGTTCACCAAGTCGAAGCTCATGACCGAGCACTATTTCATCATGCAGGTTGGGTTGGATCTCAGCCAAAGCCAAGCACAAAGATTTGCATAATTTATCGTTTCTCCTCCTCAGGATAAAAACTTTTCCTATGGTCCGGCTATAATGTCCAAGCTGATGGACTACTACGAGCTGTATGGTGAGTGAGCTTATAGAAACTAGATTTCTCGGCCTATGATCCGTGTGGTATATTCAACCTCCAGGTGACATTCTGCAAACCCATGTGGATTCGCCACGTGCCACAGCTTACCTGGCTGCCCTGCTTTACTCTGTGAATCGCGTGAATAACTTTTATGTTTATGGAGCGGGCGCCAATCTTAAGGACTATCGCCGATACATGGAAACTCTAGGCGTAAGACATATACATATATACCTCCTTCTATATCGGCTATAATCCTCTTTTCTTGTAGGTCAACAACATACGGCTCTTTGGCGACGCCTTCACCTCCTTTCCCATGGAATCGAATCGCTTTCGGAATGTTGTCGGCATCTTTGCCACGCCCCCGAACTCCTTCAGTGCCATCTCCGATCCCATAGACCTAATTTGCTCGCGTGGCGGTGATCTGAGCATGCTGGAAGTGCTCACCGAGTCGGAGGTCAGCGATGAGGGCAAAACGCGCGTCGGTTGCATACTCGAGGAGCAGCTGCTCACCCTCACCATGTCCATGTCGCGTCCTCAGGTGCAGTTCGTGCTCTATCAAACGCATTCAATAGTCACCACTGAGAACGAGGATATGGTGCAATATGTGCTGGAGGTGATCAACAAGCTGGCATTGGAGAAACACCGCCAGGCCTACCGCGAGATGAAGAGGCTGGAAGCGCTCGCCGAGCTCGAGGCCGCTAATATACCCGCTGCAGCGATGCCCAAGGAATCGCCGCGCAAGAAGGAGAAGCTCAGCGCCGAGGATAAGCGCAAATCGCAGCCAGAGCTGGGATCCAAGCCGGGCGAGCCAACGATTCCGGCTGTGCAGCTGCCGCGTGTGGACAGCATCGATTTGATTGTTACGCCGGACATCGATGAGTTCGTGCTGGACACTGTGCCCGACATCTGCATCAATCAGGACAACTGCATCGAGCAGCAGTCGACGGGCAGCTACCTCTCGCTCATACGCCGCAAGGCGCTGACCCAGCTCAACGAGAAGTACCTCATTCGCATGGCCGAGCGGCGCGGACTCTTCGGCAAGCAGGAAAAGGATAAGACGAGGACGCGCGGGGTCAAGCTGCAGGAGGTCAACGACCCAGCGCCACCAGATACCAACTACGACAGCTGCTCAGCGGGCTCTCGCAGCGGGCAGCGGCAAACGGTAAGTGGACGAAGATCTATATACTATCTAGATATCCTAGATATCTTTATAAAATTTGTCTATATGGTTTATACGGATCTTAAAAAGTTTTATATGGATCTTAGATATCATTATAATATATGCTTATATGGCATTTGAATTATTCAGCTGAGGGATGAGGGCTTGAGCCTAGTCCTATTAGATGGACTAATCTGCATTCTATTGTATAATCCAAAGAGTGTGAAGAGGTTTGCCTTATAAATCTTAGATATCGATACCATATGTGTATCTAGGTTTACTTCAAGCCGTGTATGTAGTACATGGGTCAGTAGTTTGAAGTGCGAAGCAAAGATAGAGATAAATAAAACTTGGCTCGTATCTGATGAGTCCAATCTTTCACTCATAATTTAAAATAGAAAATAGACAAGGTTCATTGCGAAATTCCCTTGGTTCTTCAATATGAGATAATAGTCCACTTATTTTCTAATTTTTGGGCTATAAACTTGGAGAGTTGTCATAAATCCACACTTGAGTTTTCTTATCGTTGTTTAACAACGTGATTACACATACCGGGTTTATTTATAGATCATTTCTAATAAAGTTCAATTACTAATTGAGTCACATCAGTTCCGTATTACGGGTCATCTGTATGTGCATATTTAATGCAGACAAATGAGACATCTACTTAAGTCATCCAAAATGAAATCTTTTCGCCTAATGCTTATGACAGATAAGATACGAGATATAGATCGTATGGCTATCGAGGCCGTTACATATATGCATAAATATCTATAAGGTCTAGGCCATTTATCTTCTAGACGTTATAAGATAGGGATCGTATTGTCGTCGGAAAGTTTAGTCGTCGCGAATAATTATATTCAGAATTCGATCAGACATTGATAGCTTACATAGATAAGCGAGAGCAAGCAAACCCCATTTGATTTATAGCATATACTTTAGGCAATGTGAGATAAGATATGGGATATTAGATAGATGTCTCATATAGCTCTTGCAAGAATTAGTCATTTCTAGACAATATATATACGATATTAAATCGTAAAATAATAGTGCTTCTAATACTCGCATAAAATATTGATTATATAGTCCTTAAAGCTACTAAGCTATGTATATACAATTTACGATCAAAAATATATGATATTCAACGTATACGATATCAAACCTATAAATCTCTGTTGATTATTTGAACTTTTTATCTGCCAATTAAATCATAATATTTTAGAAAAAATCCCCTAGAAAATTAACTCTAGACTGGGATCAGATATAAGGCTATAAACAATCAATAGAAACCACTTGACAGATATGGCTGATAACCGATATGGATATGTACGTACTATACGCTAGAATCCTTATACGATATACGATATGAATCGTTTAATTCTCGAAATATTTCGCATTGCGTGATAAACGAAGGAAAATATTAATTTAAAATTCAAATTATTGACTGCAGATTCGAAATATTGATAGCGAGTAGTGGACGTAGTAGAACCCAGAACTAGATGTACGATATGAGTGATAAGATATGTGAATTATGCTATACCTTGAACTGTCTGTCCATACAGACCGGATTCATTTGGTGTTAGACTTTACACTTTATTGTAAACAACGACATTTGAGATGGGTAGGGGGAGAGGGGGCAGCGTTATGGGGAGATATGGGTCTTTATATATACACATTTGAGACTTATGATCTAATAATTAACGTGCGCCATCAACAGAATCATCAGCGACATCGCAGCATCCACCTGGGCTGATAGTCGAGTGAGAGGGGGGGCGGGTGAGGGGGTTCGTAATTAGCATGAGGCATGCAATTGCAATTGCTCCCAGGGCTTAGTCACAGCAACTACATCGGCGACAACAACAACAACAACAACGACAACAAGAACAACAACAATGATGAGATATAGCGAAGGGGGTTAAGAGATTAGGTCATGCCATTGGCTTAGCTCATTGGCCCATGACTAAATCCAATCTTCGAGTCGCGGCCTCCCCTCTATTTGAGCCAGCCGCTGCCGCTCTTCGCCTTCCCGTTCACGGTTTTGCCCTTCTGATAGCCGCCCTTGGCATCCTTCGACTTGCTGCTGGACCAAGGGTCCATGCTGCTGCTGCTGCTGCCGTTGTAGCTGAAGCTGGACTTGAACGAGGGATTGCCGTTGCTCTTGAACATGGGACTGGTCTTGCCGGCCCCGACCAGGGGCGCCGATTGATTGTAGTAGCTCTTGTTGCTGCTCAGCTGATTGTAGCCCTGGCTGGAGCCAGCGACGCCCTTCTCCGACAGCTGTCGATTGTAGGAGAGCCCGGTGCTGGTCAGTCCGACCGAGGCGATGCCCAGGCCCAGGCCCACCCCAGAGCCCACGGCGCTCGCACCGATGCCCACGCCACCTCCGCCAAACGTCTGCTTGTGGCTGGTGCTGAAGGTGGCGCCCAGCTCCCCGCCCAGCGGCCCGCTCTGTGTGTAGAACTGTTGCTGCACCTCGACAATGTAGCGGTAGGCCTCCTCCATGCTCTTCGGGTTGCGGCGCAGGATCATCGAGTGCGTCGGCTCCGGCAAATGGTCGCGAAACACCTGCAGCGTTATACGCTCGATGTCCTCCAGCGAGTACAGGGTATCGTTATGGGTGAGCTTGCGGTTGAGCAGGCGCTGCTTGAGCTTGGCCATCTTCTGGTAGTACAGCTCGATGTTCGAGTCGAGCACGGCGCTGCGTATCTTGTGGATCAGCGAGTAGCTGGACTCGCGCTCGGCAAAGCTGTGCAGCAGCTGCTCCTTCAGCCGGTGCCAGGACTCCGCCTTGACTGTCCCGTTCTCGCTGCCCGCCGGCGCGCTCAGCTGGCGAGTGAAGACCGCATCTCTCGCCCGGTCCGTGCACTTGTTCTTGATGTGGACTAACAGCTGCGCCTTGTAGTAATCGTCGAAGGCGTTGATCGCCGGCATCAGTGCCTCGATCTTTTGCAGGAACTGCGGCAATTTGCCCGGATCGCTGCCATCGAAGTTCTCGATGAGCTTTAAGCGGCTCAGCACTTGATTGTATTTATTCACAAAATCGGGATCCATATCACCATGCACCACTCCGATATATATCACCTATATATATCTTCGTTTCTCGACTCTCGTTTCAAAATTCAGATTTTCGATTCTTACGAAATGTATAAATTAACATCGATTAACATGAACGGCTAGCTACGAAGATCCACGGGAAAAAAGAAATCTCGCAACAATAACAATGACATCAAATCAAATGTTTTGTCTCTCCAGCACCCAGCCGAACCGAACCGAACCGAACGAATGCGAAATTCAAATTGATATGGCGAACGGGAACGGAATAGATCGGTTGCCCAGTTCACTCGGATCGGTCTTTCGGATCGTGTCGCTGCGCCTCGGCTTGTCATTCGTGCTGAACTGAAATGCTCAAACGCCACTCATTGTGGTGGTGGTTTCGGGTTTGGTATTGGCGCTAGCTCTGGTGCTGCTATTGGCACTGGTGGTGGTGGTGGTGGTGCTGGTGCTGGTGGTGTTGGTTTGGTTGTGGGAGTTGTTTTGTGTACTGACTGGGCTGAATCATATATGCACAAGTCAAGCAACAACAATGACAATAAACGAGAGTGTTAGAACAGATAATGAACGACTAGGGCATGCTCTACATGTGGAGAGATACATAGTGCTATTTATCTCAATCTTGGGAAAACTTTGAATATTCTGAATTGCTGTCTCATCAGGACTCTATTCATTAATCATTTATCTCTAGCTCTTCAAATGTTTGATATATAAGATATATAAGTTACGGAAAAGTAAGGATTCCATCCAAAAACCTAGTACTGCTGAATGTATAGGAGATCGAGAAGAGGAATGTAACTTAGTATATTATAAATTTGAATTTATACTTAGTAACGGTGTCAAAGCGATATATATCGACTCATTTGCTTGAAGAAATACTAGATGAATATCTTTTGAAATCTCTGAAATGAACTCACACACACAGGCATATGGCTTCGACTTGATTATATGTCTTAGATGTGGCTCAGGCGCTTCTCCAGGCCTCTCCCCATCCGTTACAGACCTATTCACCGTAGCAATAGACTCTAGCTCGAGCGCATGCCCATATAGGGTATAATAACAACAAGCACGACGATCGCACGTATATACATACATATGTATGTATATATTCATATAGGCAAAGCAATGACAGATAGAGATAGTAACAACCCAGCAAACACACACACACACACATACCCGTAGAGCAGAGGCACGCACATAGATCAACATTAAGCATATTAACGAAAAAGCGCACACAAATCGCTCGGAATCGAAGCGTAGCGTCATAAGCATATATAATATAGATATATACATATACAATACCTATACATATATATAAGTTCAAAAATCAACAGATTCTTGGTTAAGATATATATGTGGGCTTTTCAAGATTTCTCAATTTATGACAATTTCCAGATAGTCGAATGTCTCTATATCTTTTCAAGGATTGCTAAAAGTCACTTTCAATATGAATCGAGTAAGTTTCTAGGTGCGTGTGGAGCGTTCGGGCGGTATACTACGCGGGTCAATTGAAGTCTATCAGTCAATTTACAGTATGAAATAATAAAATCAGTTAGAAAGTCTTCACATCAAATTCAATTGCTATTTAATTTGCACAGTTTGTTCTTTATTTACTTTGTGAAACTCATCACCAAGCAAAACACAAATCAAAATCAAAATTAAATAAATAAAATAATAAAAAAAAAAAAAAACAAAACAAAAAATCGTCACTGCTGACGTTTTTATTGGTTATTTACACTGATCTATTAACAATATGCTGTTAACTGTGTGCACTCCCGAATGTGTAAATAACATAATTTCAAGAGCATTTATTGTACTAAAGGCACGGCCATTTAACAGTTAAAGACTTTGTTCTCCCAGCATACAGAGGTGGGGAAACATACCTCTGTATATGGAACAGTCTATTTTGTAAAAAATATCAACGGAAAAGTTTACTCTTAATTATTATTGCAAATATTAGAAGCATCGAAAAGTCTTCAGCTTGAGGCAGTGCAATTGAAAGAATGTTTTCGAGTTTAAGTGTTTATCCAACTTTAGCATTGACCTTGCCCCATCTGTTCGAATAACATATGGAGTGTATTCTCTTAAGCGGCTAAATTTGAGAATTTGTTCTTGAATGTTTTTT